CTTGTGTAAGTAATAGCAATACTACTCATTCATTGGATATTTAAATATTGACATTGTTTAAACTTTCATTAAATCACATTTATATTTGCATTAAGTAGATGGATTGGTTTTTCTAACAGCAATTTGAAAAATAAATAATTTTTGTAATACTTTTGTCAAAATACTTAGGAAGTCAGAGATTTAAGAAGAATTGTATTACTCACTCGCCCATTCTCTTGGACGCACTTAAGAGTTTTTGGTTCACAAGATGGATAGTTCTGATAAACTGCGAACCTGTCGCCAAGCAAACCAGTTGGACTGCACACATTCCCTAATTTTTTTTTGAGAAAAAACAAAGGAAAATGTTTATTGATATGTAATAAACACAGCTACGTTGTTAAAATGCAAATATTCAAGGTGACTAAGGCAAATAATCAAGGGAATAATTAAAAATTGACCTGTTTTTTTGATTACAAAATAAATTTGTTTTATTTTAAATTACCAGAACAAGGAAGGAAAAAGAGTAAAAAACAAAAAAATTCTTGCTTATTTACGCTACGAAATTAGGCACAAATAGAAAAGTCATATGCCGACGCAATTATGTATCTCAAATAATGCGATTTGTTTTTCAAAAAATTATTATTTGTTGCCCTATCCAGTGATTTTACGCTATTAGATTTAACGAAACACGTTTTTAGTAGTGTATGTCATCAAAATAAAATTTAACTGCATTCACTTTCATTTGATGTTACTATTGCTTGATGTCAATTTACGGTAGTCAATATATGTCACAATCAAGCAATTTTCCCCTGTATTTATCTCTTTCGAGGGGCTTTTATTAAAATATAAGGGTTAACTGTATTCAGTATCATTTGGCATGATTTGATTGCTCTAGGTCTACTTAAAGTAGTCAATATTTGTCACAATCTAGCAATTACCTATTACTAAAATTAATTAAGCAGCATTTACGCCTATTCTACGTTTCTAACGCTTCTCTTAATAAATCTATGTTTCTCTTAAATAAATTGGTACCACTTCTCCATTAACTTTCCCTTTTAGTGCATAGCTTTATTTTTTTTTAAATTTCAATTAATACCTACTTCCAAATTTAATAGAGCAAACATTGGCACGTTGTGGCGATCTTCTATGTTTTTCCAAAGCGACTTAGTACTATATATTCATTAATTTTGCTTTTTCGTTATATTCATTAATTTTGCTTTTCATTTATATTCATTAATTTTGCTTTTTATTTGGCTTTATATAAATAAATTTTTAAAAGTATCCCTATAATTAAAATAAGCACGATATTTTAGTAGAAAACTTCATAAATATTAACATGGTGACGTAGGCTACTTATGCGCTCAAGCGTGATGTTCAGGCATTCATTAAACACTGAGTTTCACTGATATAACGAATAGAAAATAATTAGATATTAAAGAACGTGCAACTAATTCTTTTTTCTTTATCAATAAGTGCTAAATGCTAGATAACGTTAATTATGTTATCGTTTAAATACTTGAAGTAAAATAAAAACTAATTTGCTTGTAGTTTCTCCTTGCTGTCGCTGTATAAAATTTCAGGATGATGGAAGAAATAAGTTTCGAAGTAATAAGACAGTGACACACACAGACACAGAATTTTTTCAACAAAAGTAAGAAAGCTGATATAATTCGCAAAAATTAGTCCATATTCAACTGTTCATATGTAATTCAAGATTGTCAAACAATTAATTTCCTCCCTTAATTTTGTCCTTTTCGTACGTAACTTAATTTTCTTCTTTAATTGGGTACTTGCACTTCAAGAAGAAGATCGCAAATACCCACTTCAATACCACCGCTTATAAGCAAAATGGCGTGTTAAAGTTAAGCTAAATTTCTCCACTTCAGTTATAATGTTAATTAACGTGAAGTTAATTGAAATACAATATCGTATCGTAAATTTGTTGAAATATTCCTCGTTTACGGCTTTTATTTAACTTAGATTTATTATCTGTTTATGTCTTTTATTGCAATCTTGATCTAGTTTTGCTTTGTCTTCTTACCAACAATATATAATTAGTTGTTTATGTTCTACGTGGCTTTGCGCCTGCCTTTGTTAATTAAGAAATGTATATTGAAAAAATTGAAATCATTGTGAAAGAATATAGAATGAGTTCGGCTTGCTCGCAGCAGAATGGATAGAACAGTTGCTTAAGTAAACGCATACTACGTTTCAAAAACCAATCAGGATCGAGACACAAACACTAATTCACTTAAAGGTATCCCATTACAGTGCATTTTGAAATATTTGTGTATATAGATCTAAGACATAACGCTGGATAATATCAGTTGAGTTGCATAAATCAAGCAATGGCAGTTCGCACCTTTTCTATAGAATGATTAATATTCCCACCCTCATAGAAACGTATTCCTATTGGTAATTGATTGATCATTGATGGCGGATAAGGCTCCTCTGTCGTGGGAGCCTCTATTATGAAGCAAACAAGTTCGCTAGTTACTTTCGCTATAGTGTTAAAATTAGCGTGAGAGTTCGAAATCCATTTAGATACTTAAAATTATTGATATGGGTAAGTGTGCTTGTTTTTTGAATGCTTGTTTTTGTTCTTTAAAAATAAATAAGCCCGTAACTTTTCGGTGTTACGTGAATAGTAATATATATCAGAAGACATAATGGAAAATTGTCTCCGTTTTTATAGAAAATTTCGAAAAGTAATTTTTATTAATACTAAAAGTTATGCTAACTACCCCCACTTTTAAGAAGAAGTTTCGAACAATTTGGCACTTTTTGCTTGCATATGCGTGAAACATTTCGCATGAAAAAGAGTTACTCTAAATAAGGTCAAATAGAAAATTATTACATCTTTTCTATTTTGCTGCATTAATTTTTAATAATCCTGAGTATTAATTTTTCGGAAGAAATTCTTTCTTTTAACTACAATTAATGCAGTTTAGTTTTTTCAATCCTAAAATTTGAAAATGCATCATTGAATTATGCTGAAAAGGGGATTATAATTTGCAAATACTACTTAAAGTAGCTTCCATATTTCATTTCTAAAAAGGGTTCTAAAATCATTACGGATTGGGAGGTTGTATACATATGACCTTCATTGGTCGAAAATAGCCTTATTTATATTGCCATAATCTCTTTTTAACTTTAATTCAGCCTACGTTCATTTAAACACTTGCGGGATGTGAGCATATTAAAAGGAGTACTTTTGATTTGTGAATAGAAAGTTCGTATAAAAACAAACATAAAAAATATTTGATGAAACATTTATAGCAAATCAAATTTAAAATATAAACAAACATTCCGAAATGTTACGGAAATCAAGTTTTAATTAATATGATGATAAACTTAATATGATGATAGCATAAGCATATGAGAATCTTATATGCATATGACATTCTTTTATGCGTATGAACCAGCAAATGACCTTCATTGGACAAAAGTTACCTAATTTATATTGTCATCATCATATTTAATTTATCCTGCTTCCATCAAAATAAATTTTAAATGAACTTCATATTAAATTGTTTTTGAGTTTAAATTTTTAGCCGCATAATTTAGTTTGTAAAAGTAACCACCATATTGCTTTATTAAATTATAAATATTCCATTTCCTTTTTTTTCAAATAAAATTATAAATATATTTACGTTTATCTCATATTTATTATATGTGTTGCGCAATTTTTTGTCACTTATTGATTTTTGAAGTATTTATTTTATTGAATGTAAATCTTCTTTTAGTGTTTTTGAAAAATGTTCTATCAAATTTTAACAAATCAATCAAATACTATCAAAATAAATCTGTTTTGAAAAAATACAAATGAATTAAATAGTTTTTAAAACAGAGTATTCATAATGAAATAAAATACAGCGTTAAAAAGGCACATGAGTAAAATTGTTTAGTCGCAAAAATAAAATAAATTACATATTTGGTATTTTTCAAATGACACAAATTTTATATCTCTCTTCTTCTTGCAGGGGAGGGGAGGACATATAAAAAGAGATATTTTTGCCACTAGGATGGAAAGTTCGTGTCAAAACAAGCATAAAAAATACTTTTGGAAAATTTATACTTAATCAAATTAAAATAAAAAGAAACATTTGAAAGCAAAATGTTACGGGAATCATGTTTTAGTTAAAATCTTTAAAAATTTAATATGATTTCATCTTTATATAATCAGAAACTACAGAATATTTGTTTATAGATCTTATTTTCCTGCATAATTTGTAAAAATGCAAACCCAACAAACTCAACATGATGAAAAATCAAGCAAAATCTGATCTTTCAAATCACAGTTTCTCATGAAAATCAATTCTGGATATTTTGTATACTTTAAATTTTAATTTTAATCCTGTATTTTATATGTTAGCTAAATTTTAATCAGGTACACTGAAATACAATTCCTATAAAATAATGGCAACAGAGAATTTTTTTTAATTGTTTCCCTCGAAGCAAAATTTGCTATGTCTCATCTTGCATTTAAAATTCCAAAAATATCCCATTTTGGCTTTTTTCTATTCTGTTATGTTTTAAGCATGTATTTTGTATATTTTCAATGGAAAAAATAGGCAATTGATACTAGCGCCAAAAAAGGCCAATAGTTGAAAAAAAAAACAAAAAACAAATTGAAGAAAAACAGAAAGAGGTAAAATCATTTTCTACTTTCGATATTAAGAATTGATTCTGTTTATTATTCGATATTACGAACTTTTTTAACTGAATATTTAGATCTGAAAGTGTGGTATGTATTAATTTTTTCCTCTTTTTTATAGTTTCTCCAGTCAGCAGCACAATTTGTCTTAAAGTTTTGTTATTTAATTTTGAAGTTTGATCAGATAAAACTCGTTTCCTAAACCGAACACAATTAATTGCATATTTGCTAAAACTTTTCGTTTGTCTTTAATTGATTTTTAAATAAATGATCCATTTTTAGGACATTCGTTGTTACACCACTCTGGGGTTTTCTGGTCCTATAATATTCATGTAATTCGAATTTAAACATGCAGTATAAAGCATTTTTTCTTTACCTAGCTGAGCATGTTTTTTACAACGTGTACCACCATCTACTGAAACACAGGCCATTCCCTTTGGACACGGATCTAATAAATCACATTCTCCATTCACCACCTTTAAAGGTAATAAAAATAAGAAAATATATATTATATACTCTGTTTCGAACAATAAATAAAAATTTAGAATCATAAAATAGTTATAATATGCATTTATTTTATTCGTTTTAATTTAAAAAATCGTGATAAGGATCAAAATGAAACTAAAATTTTTTTAACGCTTTTTTTTCTTTCAAATTTTTTTTTCAATCTTTCATTTTTACAAAAATACAACGCTCTTACTCAAGCTCTATTGGTCTGATATATTAACGATACTTTTATGCTGCAATTTAAATAATGCATTCAATAAATTCTTCGACCTAAATACCATTTACCCAATTCAATTGATGCTCCTGCCGATGATATTAACTATTCAATATTACGCATTTATTAATAAAAAAAAAACATTTGCATTTTTTTAAAATTTGTTGCTAAATTTTAATCTTCTATTTTTTAAAAAGTTTTGTTGACTAATCTCTCTTTTTTTAAAAAAAAAAAATCATACGCCTTGAAATCATGCAGGCCGCTGATTTAAGATACGCATCTATCTTGTAGAAAATATATGAAGTGAATTTAGTTTTCAAAGTTGAGTTAGTGTTAATTAACTCTGATGAAGTTAAATTCTCTACAAGTAGTGTAACTACTTGTCGAGAATTTAACTTCAACATAATATAATGAGTTGGCAATGTTTTCAAAAGGTTTAAAAAAATGCCATTTTTTAATAGTCATAACTATTTTGAATCATAAGACGTCATCATAAATCGATCGCTAATTCTTTAATTAAGGGTCTGATTTATAAAATAATTCTGCACACACATGAAATTGAAAGCAACCTTAATGACTTAGATTTGAACAGAACATTAATTAGAAGCTCCTTTCAGTTTTATCTGACAAATGAACTAGTTTTGTTGATTTTAATTCCACTTTTACATGCAAAATAATTTCGTTATTATCATATTTGTGTACATTTTTATTTCTTCTCCTCAAACATTCATTTACGATATCTTACAAATTAGTTCTGAAAGCTTTTCCACTTGTACAGTGATTCACATTACAAAGAATTTTTTCATTTTCATATTTTAATAAATTCTAGTTAAAATTAAGTTAGAGCACCTTAATCATTAGTTCTAAAAACTCTGTTCCACTAACACAGTGATTCGCATGTATAATACCTTTTCTATATTAATAAATTTTTAAATTTTCATAAATTTTTAAGTTCTGAATTCCGGTTGAACACCATTTAAAAGAATACATTTATATATAAAGCTAATAGAATGTATTTATTGCACAAAAAATTACACTCTCATTAACTTTTGATCAGTGTTTAGACTTTCCATTTCTAAGCAGAAATCTTTCTGGATTGAGATTCTCACCAACATTGCTAATAATTTCTCAGAAAAATTGGTTAAATAACAGTTTATTTAATAGTTATTTTAGCATATTCAAACGAAGCAGTCAAATAACCATAAGTAAGATAGTATTCAAACTGTGAACTGTGAGAAAACCGATTATTAACTGCTTTCACCTGATACGGCTAAACAACCAGAATGTTATTTAACCGACTAAGCCCACCTACTAAAGGTGGTTTGAATCTCTGCCTGACAATACAACATTTCCTCCTTTCCATACTCCCTTTACATTTTTGATCCTGGGCAATAAGGATACGATACTCTCATACACGCATAGATGGCAGCACTATAAAGCTATTAAATGATCTCCAATGTCCAGTTAACATTTGTTTTTGTGGTTTTGAAACCATTCCAGTTGTAAATGGTTAAAGGCCATTAGTATCCTATTCATAGTTTTTTAAACATACCAGTTGTAAACGGTTTCAAAACCGTAAAGGTAAAAAAATGTTTTTTACCTTAAACTTTACGGTTTATTTAATAAACAGACCGCTGCCGGTTACTTTACCACAATTTTAGAAGTAGAATTCTAACAGAGTAGGTTATACTCATTTAGTAATGATGATGCTAATTTAAAATATGGATTTTTTTTTATTTTACTAAATTTTATATTGATATCATATTAGTTATTCAGTAAAAAATTTACTTTAATTAATTTTATAAGAATCAAGAATACTTACGAAGATACTGTAAGATAAGAAGAAAAAACCACATAAAGCAAGTATGCCATCATTTTGATTTCGGTATTCTTTTACTGTTTCAAATGCCGTTCTAACGTGAAATCAAGTGACTCTCACTTTTATAAGAAAATGTATGGGGTATAGAGTAAAATAGATATACAATGCTGTTTTGTTTCTTAAAAGTCTAGTTTTCTTAATGGCAATAAAACTCTTTGTTCGGCTTTCTTCTAAAGAATAAGATCTTTTGTTACTCTAATTGTGATGGTTTGACAGGTTTTAAAAGGCTTCTTTAAAAACATATTCTTTTAAAGTTTTGTAGTTAAATTTTATTTTTAGAATTCTTCTTTTGATTTATTGTACGGTATGCTACAATATGGTTTGATTTACGTCATAATTTTGTATGGCAGGCGAATAACAATGCAGCCTTAAGGTTAAACTGTAACAAAGTAAAAAATTTATTTTAGGACATTTTACTCTTAAAATACATTTCCTTTTATCAATATACAGGAATGGAAAACATAATCTAAATTATGCATGTTTTGTTGGTTTGTGAGGGTTTTTTTAAAAATTTTTGATACTGAGATCAAATTTATCTTTTAATTTTTTCATATAGAATGAAGCGCGCAGACGAAAATGTATACGAAGTAATGTTTAGACATTATTAAACTTTTATTTAATTCAAATATTTACATTTCCTAATTGATTTTGGCAACAATTATTTTTATAACCCTCATAGATCAGCTGACCCAATTCTAAGTTTACGACTGAGTTACTAGGACCCGACCTAGAAGACAAGATAAAGCATTGGGACAAACTAACCTTTGTGGAGGATTATTGGATGGAACTGATCCGCATTGGCGTTACATGAAGATAAAACCACTTAAATATCTCGGGATTAGCCCGGCGGTTGGCGGATTCTAACCTTAGAGGAGTATTTTATGGAGAGAGTTCTAGTTCCCCTTTCCTCGTCGCAAAGACCTCTCCCCATCTTTGTTCTATGGAGGTGTATTGTTGAGCTGTGCTTGGAACTGTAAAATTCAGTAAAAAATGGTCGCATACTGCTGTATGAAGAGAAATTAATGAAAGGAGGACCTTTTACAGTCCGCAATTACAATTCTTGTTCTTCTATAATGTTATTTGTATGTTGCATGCGTCGTTACGGAACGGATTTATTATGCTTTTAATCTATAAAATTCCTATTTATTAGTTTCTATATTTTCATTTAAATTGATAGGTTATAATAAATTAAACATTTGTAGGCACTTTCATTGTAATTAAATTTCATTTTTAAGCAAAAATTTGTTTTTTGTTCGTGACTTTTTCTGATATTGTATGCCTTGGATTTGATGCATTATTTTCATGCTAATATTTTGTAAACAAATCACTTTTTAATTTCGCTCTATAATTTATATTTATAATTATAAATAATTTAAGTCTTGCATAATTTATAAACTAATTTATTTTGAGAGTATTGAAGCGAATTTATGTAGAAATTTTAATTTGTATTTACATATAATGTATAATGCCCGGTGGCTGAGCGGTAGCGCTTCGCGCTGTCGTGCCACAGGTCCTTGGTTCGATTCTTGGGCCGGGCCGGGCAAGGCCGACTCAGCCTTTCATCCCTTCAGTGGGTCGATAAAATGAGTACCAAGCATGCTTGGGAACTAACACTGGGGGTTCCGCGTTCGGCTGACCACCAGACCGGAACATATGCTCCTGCACCCCAGAGCCCAAGGTCAAGAAAACTGAGATGGGCACAGTCGGCCTTGGCCTTTCTAATGGGCTGTCGCGCCACTGAGTTAGTTGAGTTAGTATAATTTTTAGATCGAGAAATTTAATTACCTTTGAATAAATTTCGTCAAGGCATAAAATTTATAATAAAAATTTATTTTATTTTTTTCATTAATTAGTAAATTATTTAATTATTTAAGAAATTAATTTTAATATTGGAAGCATTGCTGGAATAGATAAATTTTATATAAGGAAATTTTACATTTATTACTGTATATTTAATGTATCGAAAATTAGTATCAAGCTAAAACTAAATTTACATAAATGTTTAAAGTTAGTTTGTGTTAATTTATAATTATTATATATTTTTTATTTTAATTTCTGAAAAATGAATGTTTTTCTTTTTTATTTTCAATAAAATATTTTATATGCAATTGTAAATACTATTATTAGGTTAAACAGCAGACAAATATTATATTCTTATGTATAATACATCTTTAAATAAGGAGACAAATAACAAAAACTAAAATATGTTATTTTAGTTTAAATATTTTTTTCATTATTTGTTAAAACATAAAAATTTTAATGAATAACGTGCATTGGTTAAAATTAATTATTATAGCATGGCAGGTGGATTAGAGCCCGAATTCTTAGAGCATGCAGAAATAATATTATTTGTTTTGAACAATAATCTTCTGAATTTGAACATATGTCAAATGAAGTACATGATTATTAAAATTTGCTTATTTTTTGCTGAAATTATCTGAAAACGAGAACAGCGTTTTCATCTGTTATAGCGAGACGCTTTTTTTTGTTTTACGTTTGAATTATCTGTAAGACAAAACTATCTTGTTTAAAAAAAAAACATGCGCATTTCTGATTTTTTTGATATTTCACTGCAAATAAAAAAGAAGATTATATGTTTTCAGAAACGTTAGAAGACATTTGAGCATACATATAAAAATTTGTGGTATTTTTCTATCCTTTAGGAATTTCAAAGTTTTAAGGACAATTAATGAAATTCGAGGGGACTGTCCTCAAGTTCACCTTAGTTGTCCTCACCTTAGCCATAACTAAGGCTACTGCCATAACTATCATCACTTCTCAGGCGTCATTATACATATGGCTTATTCTTCGATTGACTGAAAAAGAGACATGCCTGCTTGTGGCTTAGCTGGATGTGTTTGGGTGTGAAGTAAAAGAAATTTTTTTTTAAATTAGGGTTGTTATCAGAAAGATTAAGATTAATTAAGATTATTAAAATGCCTCTGAATAGTGCAAAATGAAATTGGACAATATCAATTAGATTTCAGTTTTACCTGACAGATGAGCCGGTCTTGATGAAACGTGAAAATTACCGTACTATTATTGACGCCAATGATGCTTTATTAATTTAGGTAATAGGTATATATTGATATAGAAAAATAAGCTGGGTAATAGGAATCAAAATTACGGAAATAATGGTATTTCTTCGTTTAGGGGAACTATAAAAATCGCCATACTGATGTTGATGCAGATAATGCTTAATTAATTTTGTTAATGCATACTATGGTAATTGGTGCAGTTTTAATAAGAAATTCTATCACGAATTCTCCTTAGAAATCATTTCTTCGGTAGTAGCAAAGGTAGTGCATTAATATTTTAATAAATTAGAATTAAAATAAAGTTTTCCCATCATCATTGTAATTAATTTAAATTGTATATTAATGGTAAGATATAGAAATGAGCATGCTCTAAATTACTTATCACTGTCCTATAAAAATCCATATAGTTTTTCTTTTTTCAATTTCGGCTTTAGTTTGCTACCCCTGATGAATGCATTTCGCGCAAAACTCAAACGATGAAAGATATGTTATAGGTACCAAATAAACTAATACAGATTCAAAGTGTTATGTTTGGTAATTACTGAGCAGTTTTAATGGTACCAATTCGGCTAAGAGAAACGTAAAAATTCGCTTAAGTATTATTCGTCAATGATGCTTAATGAGATCTGTATTTAACTACTTAGTGAAATTGAAAAATAAACTATGTACTAAAAAAGAAAAAAAATGATGAGCAATAGGTGTTCATTAGTTTACGAGAAACGTAAAAATTGCTATACTAATTTTGACGCTTGCGATGCTTGATCAATTTCGATACTATAGGTTTTAATTGAAATAAAAATAAATGAAAAATCATCATCTTATTTTTGACGCAAATGTGGCACATTTGGCACCTATTAAAACTGCAGTAAAACTGCGTTGGGGAAAGTACCAGAAAAATAGGGAGAAAGGGAAAGTACCAGAGAAAATCCAATGATTGTGGTAAATTTTGATTATTATAAATTTGCCTCGAGCAACAGCATGATGCCAAATGATACTAAATACAAGACATTTTTATTTTGTTGGCATTAACTACTAAAAACAAGTTTCGTTTTTATCAAAAATTTAAAGCTATCGACAAAGGCAAAAAATAATAATGAATGAAAAAAATTGAATTAATTTATCTTTATTAGTGGTGTTTGTATATGTCGTTCAATTTTTATGATTTCCTATTGCTGTTCAGCATTGATTTGTTAACTGTTAATTTTCCCCCACCCCGTACGGAGAATGGGCAATTTAAATTTAAGAGCCCTGAAGACAGAACACTATTTAAAAGAATAAATTTTTTCATAGGCTGTTGGAATGTGTTTATTATGCAAAACGTTGCACTCGCTTTAACTTTTGATCTAATGGTTAAATTTTCCAGTTCTATGATAAGATCTTTCTGGATTACGGCTTCCTCGTAAGTCATATTCCTTAATTAAAGCTAACATTACTTTAAATTTTGGAATTTTTATTATTTTACTAAATTTAATATAATATTTACAAGATGCAATATGTTTTTACTGTTTCAAATACTGTTTTAAGCTGAAATCAAGTGAGAAAGTGTATGAGATGCAATGTGAAATTTATATACAATGTTGGTTTGTTTCTAAAAACCATGGTTTTCTAACTGATTTAATATAATATTTATAAGATGCAATGTGTTTTTACTGTTTCAAATACTGTTTTAAGTTGAAATCAAATGAGAAAAAGTAAGAGATGTAAAGCGAAATTTATATACAATGTTGGCTTGTTTCTAAAAACCATAATTTTCTAACTGGCAATAAAACATTTTTTCTGTCTATTTCAAAAGAATAAGATTTTTTGTTATTCTTATTGTTATGTTTTGACAGATTTTAATGGGTATTTTTAAAAATATATTGTTTTTAAGTCTTACAGTTAAAGATTTTTCTTTGAGTTCTTCTTTTGAATTGTTGCGTTTGAATATGGTTAGATTTATGGCATAATTTTGCATGACAGGCTATTAATAAAGTAGGCTTAAGGTTACACTGTTGCAAAGTAAACTTTAGAAAAGTACTTTGAAAATACTTACTTAGTCCTTTAAAAATTTATATATTT